CCATTCATTCGTTCATTCATTCATTCGTTCATTCATTCATCCATTCATTCATTCATCCATTCATCCATTCATTCGTTCATTCATTCATTCGTTCATTCATTCATCCATTCATTCATTCATTCATTCATTCATCCATTCATTCATTCATTCATTCATTCATCAGGCTGTCTGGAGCAAAAGACACTTAGTGTTTCTGATTTGTTTCGTGTTTCTGTGGTTGGTCTGAAAACCTCTGGAGTGTTTTTCTAATGAATTTTATTTTTACCCTCAGAATCTTAACGTCATTTAAAAACTACGTTTAAATAAAAATAAAAACTGAAGAGAAAATGAATCTTGTCTTTCTCAGGCTGAAAGCAATCATGACACATGACAGAATTTCCCAGTGGAGACAAAAATAAACTCACCGTCACAGATTTATTCTTCAGTCAGCTGTTTTCTGTCAACAGAAAAATGTTTATCTTTGAATAAAAATCATCAAGTCTCAAATGTAAAGAAGTTTCTATGAATATTTTCTGTAAAATTAACAGATCATTTTTTCTACAGAACTGATATTTTTCCACTACTGACATTTACCTGTTTAAAGTAATAAACAGAATGTGTATTTAAATTATGACTCTTTYTTTATTTATGTGAAATCATTTTTATGAACTGAAAACTGCACGCTATCACTTTATGAGAAATAAAACAATTAATTAAATGTATTTAGTGGCAAACAGTCCCCACATAGTTCACCTGGATCTGAACACCTGTGTCTGTGTGAGCATTCTTCTATATACTGTTTATAAATTATGTTAAAATGCAGGATTTAATCATATGTTTTAAAATTTCCATGATTACATTTGAAAAATYTAATCAGTATTAATTATTGTTGCCAAGTTCACCTCTGTTCAGAAATATGACACGAAACTGATGTTTTATTTTAAAGTTGATCAGATTTAGAAAATCCAAACTAAACTCAGTGGTCGTCCAACACAACCAGACTGGTGTCAGACTGGTGTCAGACTGGTGTCAGACTGGTGTCAGACTGGTGTCAGACTGGTGTCAGACTGGTGTCAGAACCCTGAACCAGTAAAACCTGAGAATCAACACTGAAATCTGCTCCGACATGAAACTGAATCCAGGTTGAAATGATACAAAAACTGATCGATGACTTACTTGTTGAAACAATGTTAGTTTTTCAACCATAAATGATACTTTATCAGTGTTGAATCAACACTGATTAATCAGTGATTAATCAGTGTTGAATCAACACTGATTAATCAACACTGATTAATCAGTGTTGATTAATCAGTGTTGATTAATCAGTGTTGATTCAACACTGATTAATCAGTGATTAATCAGTGTTGAATCAACACTGATTAATCAACACTGATTAATCAGTGTTGATTCAACACTGATTAGACTCTAATCAGTGTTGAATCAACACTGATTAATCAACACTGATTAGACTCTAATCAGTGTTGAATCAACACTGATTAATCAACACTGATTAATCAGTGTTGATTAATCAGTGTTGATTCAACACTGATTGATTAGACTCTAATCAGTGTTGATTCAACACTGATTAATCAGTGTTGAATCAACACTGATTAATCAACACTGATTAGAGTCTAATCAGTCTAATCATCAGACATGATTTCAATCATTAAATTCAACCATGAAACACTGATTCAATAACATCTTTTCAACACTGATTATTTGGTTACAGTTGGATGATTGACAGTTGATTCACCATCAATCATCAATCTTAACCAAACACTTTTTAGACCATAATTCAACATTGACTTAATTTATTTTGTTTTCTGAGTGGACATAAACTCAAACATCAGATTCAGAGTTGAGCTTTCAACACTGCACCATTCTTCATGTGTCGACACTTTTCAACAGTTAATTAATCAGCACTGATCGGACGTTTGAACAAGAATGTTTTTCAGCTGAAATATTTAAGTAAAATGATTTTAGTCATGTTTGTGAAAAATAATGTTGATTAGTCGTACAGCTGAGTGTAGTGAGTTAACACCATTTAACTGTCGGCTGCTCAACACTGATTTAATGTTGAATGAATGTTTTTCCTTAAACTGACATTATTTCACCAACATTGACATGTTTAATGTCAGTTATATGTTAGCTGGGTTTAAAGATTCAAACACTGTAAAAATATCTGGTTAGTGACATATCAGTTTAATAGATCACATTTTATTTCTATTAAATAACAAATGAATATAAAAATCTCTGAGCAGTTCAACAGTTTTAATCTTGTTTATTGTTTACAAATATAAATACAATAAATGTGTAAAAACAGGTTTTTATCAAACAATATTTTCTGTCAGTTTATCTTTTTATTCTCCTCAGTTTTTCCTTTTTTTACTGACGAACTGTCCTGAGCTCTGATTGGCTGAGCTCTTCTGTATCTGATGTAAATATCCGTTATGAAAATCAGCTGCTGTCAGTTGTTTGTTCAGAACCACAGTCCTGAAGCCGACCCAACCGTCCTGAAACCAGAACAAAACAAACAGATCAGCTGACTGGTTTTACAGTCAGGGACAGTTTGACCGCACCTGTCCACCTGTCCACATGTCCACATGTCCACTGTCCACCNTAGTAAACTTTGTGTACATAGTACACTTTGTGTACATAGTAAACTTTGTGTACATAGTACACTTTGTGTACATAGTAAACTTTGTGTACATAGTACACTTTGTGTACATAGTAAACTTTGTGTACATAGTACACTTTGTGTACATAGTAACCTTTGTGTACATAGTAAACTTTGTGTATATAGTAACCTTTGTGTACATAGTAAAATTTGTGTACATAGTAACCTTTGTGTACATAGTAAANGTCCACATGTCCATCTTTCCACATGTCCACCTGTCTATCTGTCCACATGTTCACCTGTCTACCTGTCCACATGTCCATCTGTCCACCTGTCCATCTGTCCACATGTCCATCTGTCCACCTGTTCACTGTCCACCTTTCCACCTGTCCATCTTTCCACATGTCCACATGTCCATCTTTCCACCTGTCCATTTTTCCACATGTTCACGTGTCCACATGTCCATCTTTCCACATGTCCACATGTCCATCTTTCCACATGTCCATTTTTCCACATGTCCATCTTTCCACATGTCCACATGTCCATCTTTCCACATGTCCATTTTTCCACATGTCCA